TAAAGGCCAGCAGGGGCTTTGCACCACCAATAGCCATGGAACCCAATTTCAATCCCATGGAGATGCGGCGACGGATCCTTGCCATGGTCATCTATGTCACGAAGCGCTTGACACCTTTGGTCATCTGACTAGCGCCACCCTTACCTTTGATGTTCAACCAGAAGAGCACTTTACAAGCCCAGCTTCGAGGAATACCCAATTTTGGACGCAGTGGAGATGGAGAGGTCACACCAGAGAGAGATCACACCAGAGGGCCAAGACATGTCCAGTGGAGAGATCACACCAGAGATCTACCTGCCGATGGGAACACCGCCACTGTGTCTTCATCGGAAAGGGGCCCAATTGGCAGTGAGCCGCAACGAAAAAACTATCTATCGGCTCTATTGGATGCGCCCTCTGCAAGGAAAAGATCGATGCGACTTCTTCGCGTGGACAGAGCTTCAGCCCCTGATCAAAAGGACAGATCACAAGGTTGGGTGCAATCACCTCTACACAACCAAGGCCGGAACGAATGCCTTCAAGATCCAAGAAAGATGCCTGCAATGCCACAAGATCATCTTTGAAGAGAAGACTGCGCTTGGCGCGGCCAAGGCTTTAGAGAAGATATCGCGGAAGGCACATATGCACCGCCGTCAGGGCTAGGTAGCTTGACACACGAGCCCGTCATCGAGCGATACCGACTGAGTGCTGATAAGGCAAATGATGAATTATTAATTAAAAGTTGCTGGCCCGGTATCTTGAGACAGCAGGACCTTCTTGCTGTCAGGCGACGTAACAATTTACGTGTGCTTGGACGTTGTTACTTGTCCGGCCAGGCCATCTGCTCCGCTTGTCGGAGGCTTTGAACCACACATCAGACAAGTCCACTTTACAGTACAGCCTGAACATTGTGTTGTAAACCTAATTTTCTGACAGAGCATTTGTTGAGTTTAAGTCGAATGTTCTGACTTGGATTTTCTGAATGTGACTTTCTGAGTTATTTTCGGACTATGATGTTCTGATTGAATATTTTATCATTGGTTTTCTGTGACTTTCTGAGCATGATAGTTATTATTTCTGAGTTTGATTTTCAGTTTTGCTTTTTGACTTTGATTTTGTGAGTGACGAGATGATGCAACTTCCTCGCTTGCAAGGCGTTGCCCACGGCGGTGCGCTCTGCTCTCCCCCGGGCCACGGACTCAGACTGTCAGTCAGACATGATGCTTCAGATAAATTGGCTGTTTTTACAGAAGCCTTCAGTCATGTTCACATTCAGAAGCCTTCATTCTTTTTCATTCAGATTCACAGTCCTTTTCAGATTCACATTCTTTTTCATTCAGATTCACTTTCAAGAAACGTTCATTCAGATTCACAAGAATCTTTCCGTCACATTCAGACTTACTAATGTTTTGCAAGCCGCCTTGAACTTGCATTGATTCATGTCTTTGCAGCAGTTTTGTGGTCAGCTACCGGCCCTGCCCACTGTCAAACAAATGTCAGTCATGTGTTCTCAAGCTAAATGGCAACGTTCCACATGGACCACATCAACCACTCAAACACATCACACTTTCCACCTGTCATCATTTTCCGACGCTGTAGCTTAGGGCAATTACTAACCTTTTTAATAGCCTTCCTTTCCGCCATGCAGTGCCCGGCATGCGACAGACTGTTGCCAAAAAACTTCTTCGCAGATTCGTTGTGGAGGTGGCAACAGGGTGGTGGCCCTGAGCCCGATTGGGTGTGGTGCTGCAGGACATGCGAGCTGCAAAAGCCGGTGGATCAGAAGACGACATGGTGGTTTTGGAAGAAATTCCTCTACCAGTTCGAAGAACTGGAGCGCCACGGTGTCCCAGAACTCCTTGAGGAAGACTCCCGGGTTCATCGTGCCTCGCTCATGTTTAATGATTTGTCGGATGGTTCAAGAT